AAATAATATTAACCATTTATATCTATGTATATAAATATATAATATTTAATGCTTTTAACTTTATGTATCTAATAATAATATTAATAATATTTTAGTCAGCATATGAAATATAACAATCTAAAATTATTATTAATATTATACTTTTTTTTAAAAATTAATAAATAACCATTTTGAAAATAACAACATCCATGCTTACACTAATATGTAAATAATAATATTCAAATTAATAATTTATACTATAGGAAAAAAATGATGGCTCATTAAAAAAAACTCAAATGATAAAGAAAACAGCTGATTAAAAAAATAATCCTTTATTTAAAAAAATTTTTTAATTCATCATTTTTTTTCAACGCACCCGTTCTATATAACCACAAATGATGTTTCAATAACTATATAATATATAAAAATATTAACAAAGTTATTATTTTTGTATAAATAATTACTTTTAAAATGATGCTATTTTAACTTCCATTTAATACCTATTACACGCGCAAAACTATTTATCATTTTTTTTTTAATATAAAATGGGAGAAAAAAAAATCACTATTTCTCTCATTGGAGAAAATCGCCCGATATTAGAAAAATTAATTCCACCAAAAATGTATCTTGCATACCTTGGTCCAAGATACATGAAGAAAATAAATCATTTTTCATAATAATAGCTCCCATTGTGTGTATGATAAGAATTGTTGGTAATATTCTAGGCCTCTTGTCCTCATATCCTTCTGACACGCGCGCTTCACCTGGGGAACATATTTAAATTGCATAGTAATGTTCATATACCCGATTTGACTCCCCTGGAATAAGTACATGGCAAATTATCATTTTCCTGTAGCTAAATCTTTAATGAGTTTTTCTTTAGGGATTAACATGATAGTAGTTCTCTCTTAAATTATAGGCACCGCGTTCCCGTTTAAATATAAGATTTGGTTCAATTTCAGAAATATTGTGTACATGCTGATATTCTATTTTATATACGTTGTTGTATAGTTCATTCAGACAAACATGGTGGTTTGTCATAAATAGGATAAACATATGCGGTGTCAAGCCTTTACTGATCATTTATTATTTTAAATTCGGGTTAAATTTTATTATATATATTTGTACTTATAGATACAGGGAAGAAGCGAGGTGGGGGGGGGGGGGGTGGGGGGTTCTAGTTAAGCTCAAAATTTTTATTATACATATATACAATAGAACCTATCTAATTTGAGCTCTTGATAATACCAACAATTTGAACAAAATTTTTAGTTTTAATTAAATTTCTATTAACTACTATTATTCTATGTAATAAAAATGCTTTGATAAATTGGGCAACTGTCTATGTTTAACAAAAATTTTGTTTTCTGACATATTATTTGTTGTAGCTGCTGAAAAAAAGAAGAAATAAATTTAATATAATATACTAAATGTCAGTCATTTTATGACATGAACAATTAATTTTTGGGGGAAGAAGGAAGAATGGGAGATCAGAAGATGCCAGCTGTGCAAGAACAAAGAATAGTGGGATTTGAACTATTTTAATGAATATGAAACATTTATAAATTATTTCGATGTGAAACATAAATAAAATATGGTATAAAGAAATTAAACAATGTGGTTGTCTTAGTTGGTAATGTTTATTGTTGGTATTTTATAATTATTAGAAAAGGATTGTTTGGGATTGATAAGTTATATTTTTTAAAGGGAAGGGTTGTGAGTAAGGGACATTCTTCTATATTATTGATATCACATCAAAATTTATAACAAATTAAACTTTAATCACAACAGGATACAAACTTATAAACATTTAATTAAATATCCATCTTTCAAAATATGTAAAATAATATGTTGGTTAATCTTTGACCGGCTAATTAAAAATTAATTTAATAAGTTTATGATTATTTCTTGAATTTCAAATTTTTATTAAATTATTATCTCTTTGTCTTTATATAAGATTAATAATTTGTACAGGTTATTCTGATACAAAAAGAAGACGTTATTTATGGAAAGCCTGCTATATGACTCGTGAATTTTTCACGACAATTTTACCCCTCCTAATCGTATTATTAGAAAATCTGGACGATTATTAAGTAGATTTATACTATGTCTTATTACCAGCAATGTCCCATAATTAGGCAATTTCCCATAGCAATACTACATTATATATTTTTCTGCTAAATCAGATCTTTAAAATAAAAAACGTGCTCGCCATTTAGCCGTTTTCTAACTTTAAATCTTTATTTGGCGCGGATTTTTTTTCAACATTAGAAATTTTTTTATTTTTACCGGAAATGCATTTCAGCATCTGTAAAAACATCCATCCTATAGATTTCGTATAATCGCACATTACCAGTAAATCAGGCAATAAAATATACTATAAAATCCAAAATATATATATATCTAGGATGAGATTAAAAAATGTCTCAAAAGTTAATCTCTAAATTGTCAAATTTATAGTATAAGTTCTGCGCATACTAAAATACATTTTAAGGATAACCAAATTTTTCAAATTTAAAAAAATAAACGCGCTCAATAAATTATGGTGATATTTTTCCCTATTAACCGCATTGTTTTTTTTAACATATGAAAAATCTAGTGTCCGAAATGTATCTCAGCATTTGCAGAATTATTATACCCTCTAAATTTTCACGAAGAGAAAAGGGTGGGTCATTCCATGTCAAATCAATCACTTTTCGGCTGACCAATTCTAAACCAGAAAAAATAATATATTTTTCAGATGAAGCCGCGTCTCAATACAAGAATCGCAAAAATTTTCTGAACATATGCCTTCATAAATACGATTTTAATATTCCTGCCGAATGGTGCAAAAATGCATGTGACGGTATCGGAGGAACTGTCAAAAGATTAGTTGCGAGCTAGTCTTCAAAGGCCAAATAAAAATCAAATCCTAACCCCATTAGAATTATATAATAATGCTAAAAGAAAATATTAATGGAATTCAATTTGAATTTATATCTAATCAAAAATATATCGAAGGGGAATTAGCCCTTCGTAAAAGATTTAATTCTGCACTGCCCATACATGGGACCTAAAAAATTCACGGGGTTATTCCCATTGATCAAATAGACTAAAAACCAAAATATATTCAAATTCCAAAAAATATAATATAAAGCAAGCTTCGTTTTTAATTGAGAAAATTATATTTAAAAATATAAATGGATATGTAACATGTTTATATGATGATAAATAGTGGTTAGGATATATAATCGATAAAAATGATACAAATGAAGAAATAAATATCTGATTTTTACATCCTTTTGGACCTTCAGTCTCATTTAAATTTCCTCTGAAAGATGATATTTTAGTGTTGCCTAAATCTCATATTCTCTCTCGCTGGTCAATACTTCTACACCCACCGGTCGAACATATATATTATCTCCTGAAGAAATCTAACAAGCTACAGGCTTTGTATTCCTTTAGATGAAGTAAGATTTAATTAATTTATAAACTATCTTAATTAGGCAAAATTTGTAAAGATTTTAAAAATTTCATGATCTGAATTACAAATAAATATATATAATGCACATTGTAATCGATTTAATATGATATATATATACATTAAAATATTTTTAATCAATAAAAAAATGAATTTTAACATAATAAAACTATTATATATATCGCTATCTATTTTTTTAAAGTATAAAAATTGCAATATTTTTTTAAATAATATCCAGCTGTGCTAATTGTTAAAGAAATTATTAAAAAAATAGTAAACGCATAATATTTCTTAAAAAAATTAAAAATCGGAGATCATATTCATTTCGAAATATTAATTTTAAATTTTCAACTGACCATAAGATGACCCATATTTTAAAAAAAAATAATTTTTATGTTTTCGCCATAATTATCAATTATTAACTTAGCTATTGATATTAGATTCAATATTTGATCATATTTAGTTTAAAATTAAAAACTAATTATTTAACATCAGTAAAAAGCAAAAAAAAACGTTTTTTGGACCTTTAACCCCGATTATCTCCGCTAATATATTTGCTAATGAGCTAAAATTTTGTTTATAATCTAATGGAAACATATATAACCAGTCTACAACTTTTTATCGAAATTGAAAGGGGTTGGAATGACCCAGATGATCGGCATCATAGTAGTCGAATTCATTGTCTTCATATTTCCCGTCTCGGTTTTCTTAATTTTTCGAAATTTTTATATCAATAATTGGGAAGATTGCTATATGGATATGGCTTTCGCCTTTTGTACACTTATGGAATACATGTACATTTCTCAGCCCTTTTACCTCAACTTGATACTCAACCCAAAATAGAAGATAAGTTTATTCAAGAAGAAGACATCTGAGAATGTGCCCTTCCAAATAGATAAATTCTGATTGCTTCTAAAACTGAATTTTTAATTATTAAACGATTGATCGTGGTTATAGTTCTAATATTACTTTTAATTAAATTAATTTTTTTCAATATTATTTATTAAAATAAACACTACCTACGACGGTCCCAAGTCCGTGTGAAAAAAGTGGAGGGTTTGCGTCAGGTCGGATACCGGCTGTAAAAACCCACTCCAAAATGATGATAGTTTCAAATAAAACTCTACAATAGAAAGCTAGGGCGTGCTCCACAAACGACGCGCACTGCATCTCCCGTCCGTGCAATGCGAATAATATGCTAGGGTTATCGCCTGACTCACAATGAAGGCAGTTAAGGAAGTTGGTTGTGGATAAAATGCGAATAACATGCTGGAATGTGGGTACGTTGACAGAAAAGAGCTTCGAGTCGCACAAATGCTAAAAAGAAGAAAGGAAGAGACGAGGTGGAATGGAACTAAAGCTCGGGAGTGAGAGGGATACAAGTTATTCTACAGTGGGTCACCAAATCCTAGAAACGGGGTCGGTATCGTTCTAAGCGAATCGTTCAAGGACAAGGTGGTGGAAGTCAAACGATTTTTAGACAGGTTAATGTGGGTGAAGATTGCAGATCAATGAGGCCTCCTAACCGTTGTGTGGCGCATATGCTCCTCAAATTGGGTGTATGGAATCAGGGACAGATATATTCTTCGATTCATTGGAAAAAGAAATAAAAGGAATACGACAGGAAGAAAAGCTAATTATTGGGGTGAACTTCAACGCCCATATTGGAAAAGATCGCCTCGGGTATGAAAAAAATCATGGAGGCTATGAGCATGGTTTGAAGAACAAGGAAGGGGAAAGATTTCTCCAAGTATCCCAAGCATATGACATGGAGATCGTTAACACTTATTTTCAAAAGCGTAAAGATCATATTGTGACTTATAGAAGTGAAAAGCATTTTAGTCAAATTTACTATCTGCTTATACGGCGAAAGGATTTATGGAGGATCAAAGATTGCAAAGTAATATCGGTAGAAGAAATCGCCAGGCAACATCCTCCACTTGTCATGGATCTTGAAAGAAAATTCCGAAAAGAAGAAAGGTTTATGAACCTCGCATTAGGTATGAAATGCTAAAGGACATGCCGACGAACGATAAATACCATCAAAAAGCCTCCACACTCTTGGGTGCCAGGATCAGGAAGTTAGAAAGAAACGTAGACGACGATTGGGAGACGCTAGCTGCAGACATAAAGGAAACGGCGATTCAGATTCTAGGACAGACCAAAGGAGGCAAAGCTTTGATAGGGAACTATGGTGGTGGAATCAATCGGTTAGGGATTTCATCGAAAAAAAGAAAATTCTATATAGACGGTGGCATAAATCTAAATATTAGGAGGATTATCAAGAATGTAGGGAGGCAAAGAGAGTTACGAAGAAGGCCGTTGCAATAGCGAAGAATGCTGCGTACACCGAGATGTCAAATAAACTGGATCATAAAGGGGGTGACAGGCTTATGTACAAATTTGCCAAGATAAGGGAGAAGAAAAGTCGCGATGTCGGAGTCCTTAAAATAGTCAAAAATGAGGAAGGTCAAACCTTATTCAAGCCGAAGGAGTGGAAAGGTGGAAAGGATATTTCAAGGAACTTATGAATATTGCTAATGACAAAGATTTCCTTCCCAATATTGAGCCAAACATAAGTATAGTCGAACTCTTTCAGGAGGATGAAGTTAGGACGCAAATGAACATGATTCAAAAAGGAAAAGCTATTGGCCCAGTTGGAATTCCTATGTAAGCATGGACCACGACTAACCTCTTTAACAAGATATTGTGAGAAGAACGAATTCCTAATCAATGGAGAGCAAGCACGATTATACCCTTATTCAAAGGCAAAGGTGACCCTCAGGAGTGTGGTAATTACAAAGGTATCAAGCTAACTTGCCACTCCTTGAAACTTATGGAAAGAATCTTAGTAACAAGGCTGAAGAGGTAAAAATATCGGCTAACTAATTCGGATTTGTGGCCGGCAAATCCACAATCGATCCGATCTTCGCACTAAGACAAATGATGGATAAATATGGAAATAGAAAAGAAACCTACATATGGTCTTTATTGACTTGGGGAGAGCTTATGACACGGTCCCTCGCGATTTAATATGGCGGTGCTTGAGAAAACAAAATATCCCTGACACATATCTTCGGCTTATAAAAAATATCTATGCTCAACTTCTTGCGTTAGAACGACAGTTGGAGACTCTAAACCTTTTCGGGTTGAAATAGGATTACATCAAGGATCTGCTCTAAGTCCTTTTTTACTCAATATAATTATGGACACGATAACGAGAGACATCCAAAAGCCATTTCCTTGGTGTTATGCTATATGCCGATGATATAGTACTATGCCAAAAGACAAAGGGGAAAGTATTCGAAGAAGCCGAAAAGTGGTCAAAACGCTTAGCTGGGTATGGTTTAAAGGTCAACAATCGAAAAACGGTATACATGGAGATGAACGTTACAGGCACCCCATCGCTGGACGACCAATTAAAGTACCCAAAAGTAGACAGGTTTACATACCTAGGCTAGATGCTACATCAAGAGGGAGGTTGCGCAAAAGAAGTCAATGCACGGATCCGAAAAGGATGGCTTAAATGGCGAAGTATATCCGGTGTAATGTGCTACAAGAAGATGCCAATATGGTTGAAAAGCAAAGCTTACAAATCCATAGTAAAACCGGTGTTACTCTATGTAAGTGAAACATGGGCATTAAAGCTACGGAAGAAAAATTTTTACAAGCTACGGTTATGAGAATGATATGGTGGAGATTGGGGTATACTAAACTCGACCATATGACGAATGACTGTCTCAGAGCAAAAATGGGTATTCAACCTATGGCGGACTTGATAAACGAAAATCGGTTAAGGTGGTATGGTCATATACTAAGAAGGGAGACGAATGATGTAAATCGAAAAGTATTGGACATAGAGGTGCCGGGGAAGAGAGGAAGAGGACGACCTCGTATTACGTGGAAAGGTCAAGTAGACAAAGTTATGATGACTAAGAAGATAAATCCGGACATGGCCCTTACTAGATCAAGATGGAAGAAACTTATCAAAACAAACCCCACGACTGTGGGACTATATGCATGATAATGAAGAAGAAGATTAATTATTAAAATAATATCTCTCCCTCCATTTCAATGATAATAAAATTTAAGAATTTTAAAATATTTATATAGGAAACAAAATTATTATTATAAACTCAATCCGTTGATGAATGAATTGAATCATCGTATAGTATGACCAGAAGTCATAAGAATTGTATTTTATTTTTATTTTTCTCTCTTTTGAAAAACATATATTTTCTTCACTTTCTCAAAATGTTTATCTATTATGTAAATGTATTATGGCCTATGCAATTTTGTTAAAGTAATAATAAATTAAAATATTTATTATGAATCATAGGAATTTTGATTATAAATGTGAAGCGGGTAGATTGTTTTATGAATTAGACCAAAGTCATAATTCAAATGAAATTATAAGAATTGTGTAGATCATAAAATTAAACAAAAATTGTCGTATTAACCTATTTATTCTTCTATATCAGTCATTGCTGAATTTGATGATGAAAACATAAATATTACAATATTATGTAAGTTACATTGTAAAAGAAAGATATAAAAAATAAATTTTACTTGTATAGGGGAAAAGAGCAAAGAAAAAAAATATATCAAACTATAAATAGATTAAATATATTTTTTTATAATCAACCCCCCACTCCCATGTAAATTTAACCATTAAATTATATTTTCATCGGAATTTACTTTTGAATTCCTGACCCTCGTGCTTACAAAAAATTCAGCATGAATGATTTCTAATACTAATGAAATTATATTATTTTATCATACTAAATAAAATTCACTACATTACATTCTATTTTGTATATAAATCTATTGTTTCGCGTAATTACGCCTATATTTATTTATATTAATGTACTCTCCATAATCCTCTTTACCAATTAAATATTTTTATAATAAATTGATAAATTTAATATAATCTGTTAATTCACACTATATTTTCCAAAATTCTGTCAAAAATCTATGTTGTATACTGAATTAGTGTATATATATATATATTAAACTCTTTTTTTTAAAAAAAAATTATCTATTACAATGTAGATTTAACTTGTAATCAAAATATAAGGCCTTGAACAGATTCTGAACTATTAGTTATTGTAGAGTGTAGAATTTGTGAAATTATAATTTTATTTTGGCAATTCTCAATTATTATACTGCATTGAAATGAAAATAGATTAAATAATAATAAATTTAGAGTTTATAAATTGAGTTTTTTGATAACGCAATTATAAAGTGTTATTAAAGTTACTAAAAAATTTAATTTATATTTAAATTGCAATTTAAAAAAATTAATTATTATAAGCACTAAAAATATATATGTACATAATATACACAATATAATATATAATAACCAAAAACAATATTTAGGCTGTGTTAAAAGAAACCGTAATTACAGTATTTAAGTCTCAATTTACACCTTTTGACAGAACAATCTATGGTTCATTGGCAATTTTTTTTATAATAATATAATTATTTTTAATGTGACAAATGTCCTTTATCGAAAATTAGTTTATTATCATTATTTTTTTTTTGTTATGCCTATATGCAAGGCCTGATAAAAGTTACTTTCATCATCAAGCAGTCATTGCTTTTATGGAGTTAGAAGAGCCTATTATAAATGCATTTAATGAAATATTGCAATGGCCTGAAGAGGCATTGAGATTATTTGATATGAAACGACAACCAATTTTTCTAACACTAGAATATATCAACAAATTGTTTCATTACACAAGTATTTTATGCAGTCTATTTTTATAAAATAATATAGATTTAGTTGAGATGACAAATTTTATAAATTATGTGTCACTGTTGAGTCAAATGAACGCTTCACGGTTCGAAAGTATCGGTTCTTGGCCGATAAAAATTTTTTATAAGGGACGTAAACGCTTTTCTTTTTACCCCCTCTCTTTCCATCTGTAGAACTCATGGAAGGATTTCAAAGCTATCTAATCTAGGAAATACATGGGAAATTTCCACTACCACCAGCACTCTCCTTTTAATCTTTTTCCATTTTACCCATTATGATTGACTTTCAAATAAAATAAAATTTTATACATATTCTCCATTAAGCGTACCCTTTAATGGGACCTTCTTTAGCAAAGTTCAGCTTCAGCCTGTCAATCATTGTCGATTTTGCTAAGATTTTTGATTGGTCTTTAGGTTTTGGGCAATATCCGTCAAAATACCCTCTTCTTTAATTCCAAAATTTCTTCTATGAAGTTCTTGAAGTATGGTATAAATCGACTTGAATTCCCGATCCTTTTTTATTCTTCTTCTTCGAAATATATTATTCATTATTATAGAAAGTATATTACAACATGTCCTTATCTTTTTTCAAGGAACTTGGCTCTCACATTCGTCAACTAACCGGTGAACCTATCGAAGGCTTCTTCTTAAGACAAAGACTCGCCATAGCGATACACAAGACAAATTATAATCGCTTCATAGGCAGTCACATTTCACAAGATGATTTGTTTTAACCTCAATACTTTTTACTGCCCCCCCCACTTCTTTTTTGGTTTTTTTTATCCTTGTTACTAATATATATAATATTGTATATTCCCAAAATATTATTTTTATTACAAAATTATATTTTATAAATTGCACGTAATAATTAACTATTATTATTATATAATTAATATTGAATTATTATTTATTAATATTATAATTAATAATCTTTTAATATTAAATAAATAAGTATAACTTTAGTTCAAATATATCGTCGTCTGAGCATTAGATTATTCTATATCCAAATTATTTTTTTCTAAATTATACCATTCTCTTTACCTTAATTAGAGTCCTAAATATTTATAAAAAATCTCAAATTAAATCCTATACCAGGTTAACAATCCTATAGAAAAAAATAGAAATTTAATTTTTTTAAATGGCTCTCCCTTATAAAATTATTTTTTTTAAAAAAAGTGGAGATAGAATATTCTAATACTCAGGCGACGAAATTATTATCCAGTGTGGTTAGATATTTAATGAGTTTTAAGAATAAATAAAACTTTATGTAATTAGGAATTGTAAAAAAAAAATTGCACACAATATAGGATCCTGTCATATTAAATCTCATATTTATGATGTAATTTTTATTCTTAAGAGTCTGAAATTTGCCTGCGCACTAAACATTTTAATAATAACAACTAATAATTTGAGTTTAATAATATCCATTTTGGGATATGAATTGGGTAATCACATTCTAAATCCTCGGATCTATTTTTCATGAGGAGAAAGAAGGGTGGAGGGCTTGAAACTATTTCTAAATCTTTAAAATGGTATTTAAATGAATGTAAATAAGAAATTACATTTATAAAAAAGTGATTCTATTTTCGGTAACCTTTATAATTTCAAAATTAAATATGAAAAATAATAATGTATGTAGTTCTTTAACGAATTTATATAATATAAATAGAATTTATGGAAATATAAAAAATATTTAATTTCATAATCTTCTTCTATTGGCTAAATATACTTTTAGCTTGATAAATTATTTTTTAAGATTTCTTTGCTAGTCTATAATATATTTTCTTCTCCAAAATAATGGGATTCTTCAATATAATATATAGGGGAAATATTAAGTTATTTTTTCATTTTATTGAGGATTTTGTTACAACCTGCAGACTCGGGCTAGTCCTGTAGGAAAAGTCCTCTCACACTAGGGGAGTACGAATCATATCAATTTTATCATATTTCATAGGGTTACCTCAATGTGATACGCATTTAGAGTTAGTATAGTCAGTATCTATATCGAAATTGAATGGAAGGAGGGGGGTGTAGTGATGCTTATAGGACGTTATGTACAATAAATAAAGTCAAACTCATTGGGACTTTAGTTACTTCTCATTGTTGACGGTCACAAGAATTCGATCCGCCACACTAGTTAACAAATTATCTCAGAATTCCATTATATTCCAAACTTTTGAACAGCCGAAAATGGCCCTTTCTTCAATGGCCAATATATGTTTCAATAATTTATTGTTAAATATCACACGGGTCTGCAAACAACAGATATAATATAACAATTTCCATAACCCCACAAGAAAAATTGTTAAAAGAGTAGGGTTAATTTTATAAAACGAATCCCATATCTATATTTGGAATCAGGCAGATTTGGACTTTTGTTATTTTTATTGAGAGGAATTTTATATTAAACCTAGGAGCTTTCTCCCCAAACAAACAAAAAAGTGATATGAATTTATTTCCCCAATTTTGGGCAGGTTTTGACTCTTTCTGCCAATAGGAGCTTTTCCACTGAACCGAACCACTTAATAATTTAAAAAAAACAGTATTTCTGGCTGAGACGGGTTAGGGACGGACCGGGTGTAGGCAGTATGATTATTTTTTATCAACGCACCAGCTGTATAAAATCATATTTCAATATCTATCTTTATATTACATATAATATGATATATAAAATTATTAACATTTAATATTATTTATTTTATAAAGATAATTATATTTGTTATGATGTTGTTAGCAACTTTCATTTATTACCTATTATATACACAAAACTGTTCATTTTTATTTTTTGGGAAAAAAAAATAATATCGTAGATTTAAAAAAAAAGACTTTATTTTTAAACATGTCTCATTTAACTAATTATAAATTTATCTTAAATTTATCTCCTTGGAATACATCATCGGATATTAGAACTATTAATATCTCCGAAAATATATCTTGCATACCTTGGTCCACGCTACACGAAGAAAGTGAATCATTTTTCATTTCTTTCTTAACAGCAGCTCCTATTGTGAGCATGATGGGAATAGTTGGTAATACTTTGGGACTGATAATAACGTTCAGAGATAAATGTTATCCTAATGTATTTTTAACCCGGGCGCTTTACGTGGCGAACATATTCAATTGCTTCGTTATGTTTATATACCCTATTATGGATATGTTAGGAGAATATAAATTTTTAAAATTCTGGTTTAAACTCCCCTGGAATACTTACATGGCAAATTATCACTTTCCCGTAGCCAAATCTTTGGTCACCTTTTCTTTCGGAAT